CGGATTTATCTGTCAAAAAGCGTCAAGCTTTCAGAAAAATATGGAATGGACTGACCTTGGGTTTTTAGCTGGACTTTTTTACTGATTTTTTCTTCTTTTTCTGGCTAAATCATTCCATATTCGGCATACGAAGGACCATGATGAGGGCAGGGTGCCCAATTTTGTCGCAACCTTGAAGAATAGGTACCTTCTCGGTATTGCGCTGCTTGGCGGTGCTGCTACGGGATATCAGCGATGATATCCTTGAATGGAAACACTTGGACCAATGTTACGTCTAGTGTTTATTAATTGAATAGACCCAGCTCTGAGTGATTGATCTATGTAGGTATTTTTATACAATTAAAAAATCGTGACTAACTTTTTTAAAACTTGAATGACAACTCTATCAACAACGGGTTGTTATGCATTATTTTTCCGATTGTTTCTTATTCTGCCTACTCAATTTGATAAAGGCTGTTTATTATTTAAAAAAATGCAAACAGAGACTACAATCGAAAATTAACAAAAATCACGTCTTTTTAGGATTTTTAATTTTTTTGAGACACTCAGACGGCGGGGCATTACACAAAACTAATTTTTCTTGATTTCTTAAAGTGGTAGCTAACATGTGTAGCTATTTTCGAAGCGGCACAAGCAACTGTGTAGAGACTACAATCGAAAATTGACAAACATCACGACTTTTTTAGGGTTTTTAATTTATTTGAGACACTCAGACGGCAGGGCTTTACACAAAACTAATTTTTCTTGATTTCTAGGGGTGGTAGCTAAAATGTGTAGCTATTTTCAAAGCGGCACAAGCAACCGTGTAGAGACTACAATCGAAAATTGACAAACATCACGACTTTTTTAACTTTTTTGAGACACTCAGACGGCGGGGCATTACACAAAACTAATTTTTCTTGATTTCTAGGGGTAATAGCTAACATGTGTAGCTGTTTTCGAAGCGGCACAAGCAACCGTGTAGAAACTACAATCGAAAATTGACAAGAATCACGACTTTTTTAGGGTTTTTAATTTTTTTGAGACACTCAGACGGCGGAGCATTATTCTACAATAGTACATTAAAATACAAGTTTCATAAGACGTCTCCGCCTCCGGCTCGTTTTCTAATATAGGGCTCGTGCGATAAAATGTCTTATGAAACGAATATTTTATACTATTTTTTCTATTTTGGGATTGTTTAATTTAAAAAAAAAAAACTTTTCTTGGAAATTTTATTCTCATATTTCCTGATTTCATATGTTTAGGTTGGTAACACTACGTGCCAAATATAGAAATATTCTATTATTAGCTTTGTTCGCGGGTCCGATTCCGAATGGGTTCAGAACTAATTCGGGATTGTCGTAGAGCGCATGCCTAGTTAAGAATCGGTTCAGGATTTCTTTTTACCGCGAACGATTTCGGAACCGAAAACCGAATATTTTTAAACATTAGGTGATTTTTGCTGATTTTTGAACCTTAGCCATTTGATTTCCATAAATCAAAAAGAATAACAGAACAGATATAATATTTATATTTATTCAAAATTCGAAAATGCTCTATACATTGTTCATTCCTGAAATGTGGCATCACCTCCTTTAAATTACATTGCTTTTAGGAACTCAAACAAGTTCTAATTCTTCCTTGTCCCCATCGTTAGATGACAAATGGACCGACTAGTCGGTACTTTAATGAAAAAAAATCACTGAAATTGTGCATATAAATAAATATATTAGATTAAATAGAAATATAAGTAACTTACAATACTGCATGTACTGCAAATTCAGTTAACTATAAACTCCCTGGGAAAAAACTAGCGTATAGTTTAGTTTATCGCTTCAGCGTATAAACAATTAAAAAACCCAAATTTCAATAACGCAAACAGAAATAAACACCAGTCAGCTGACGAATCTGACGAAATTGCGCATGAGCAGCCGAACCGAACTTTTAGTCCTAACAAAAATCCTGGGACTGCTAGAACCGATTCCGAATCAATTAAAACCAATTCTATGTGATCCGCGAACGCAGAACTGTTACTAAAAATTCAGAATTTTATTATCCGCGAACGCCACTTTTCAAACTGCGCATGCGAATAGTCCCTGAACCGATTCGGAATCGGATCCGCGAACAAAGCTATTTTTTATCGCGAATGACAGTTCGATGGCCATCAGTCAGCCAGTGTTACCAACCTCCGATAAGTAGAAAAGGAGTGTCATAAAGAGCTTCTTTTCGAAACTACTTTTAGAGTCAAAAAGACTTCGATATGACACCAAAATAGAAAATAGTACATTAAAATACAAGTTTCATAAGACGTCATTTTATCGCACGAGCCCTATATTACAAAACGAGCCGGAGGCGAGTTTTCTAAAGGGTGAGTGCGATAAAATGTCTTATGAAACGAATATTTTATACTATTTTTTCTATTTTGGTATTGTTTAATTAAAAAAAACAATTTTTTTTTGGAAATTTTATTCTCATATTTCCTGATTTTATATGTTTAGGTTGGTAACACTACATGCCAAATATAGAAATCTTCTATTATAAAATCGCGAATGACAGTTCGATGGCCATCAGTCAGCCAGTATTACCAACCTCCGATAAGTAAAAAAGGAGTGTCACAAAGAGCTTCTTTTCGAAACTACTTTTAGTGTCGAAAAGACTTCGATATGACACCAAAATAGAAAAAAATAATTTTAGTTGTACGCTAGTAGTAGAACCTTACATTCATAGCTATTTCTAATATGGCACAAACAGGCCTTAGAATATATGAGAATCTGGCCGGTATAGTAAAAAGTAGGCCTAACCGCGATTCGATAAATTTATGGCTGAGATTTTTTCACACTAACGGAAATTTAGCCTGAGGCTGTTCTTACACTTACCAGGAAACCCCAAATTAACACAAACAACACTTGAAACTCTAAGTTTTTTTGTTTTTTTCTTTCTATATATCGATGCGTCGATAGACTACGAAATAATAATAACAAGGCACACGCACAACACAATAATTGTAATTAACGCTCAACGCTCAACACAGATTTAGACACGGAATACTGTATGTCACTTCAAAACTGAATATTTTATTCTTTCAAGAAATTCGGCGTGAGAAGGAAGGTACCATAACAAAGAGGAGTGCAATTATCGAAAATAACTCCAGCTATAATCGCAAAGTGTAATAAAAGGGTGCCCCCTTTAAAAACTACCTGATAATTCCAAATTTCTGAAAGTATCACTTTTGACTATTGATGTAACTAGATGGCATGTTTTATCGAATAATATCGATAAATTAATAGAACTCTTCATAGCTTCATCAGAATGAATCGATTGCTAGACCCCACACCAGGGACGAAATAAGTCAAAACCGGGCCCTGGTGCAAGATTAAAGCACAGCGGGCCCCCTTTACCATGGGTATCGGAAGGAATTTTTTCAAATTCATTGACGGGTGGGGGGGGAGGTTATGAACAAAATGGCGCATGGCAAATTCGTAGGCGAGAAATTTTTGGAGGGTTACCAGACGAAAACTATTTTTGTAACAAGTACCTAAAATGAGATTTTTCGGCAACCGTTCTGAGCCTTTTCAAGCCTAGGCTGGGATGTGATTACTTAGGCCAAGAAGTGATTACTTTCCGGCCTAGTCTGGAAAGTATGTTCTTTCCGACCGAAAAAATAATATACGTAATACTCCCGGAAAGTGTTTTTTCGGACTCGCAGACTGGAATCTTGTCTACTCGTCCAAAAAAATAGTACTTTCCGGACTCCTCACGCAATAGTATGTTGGAGCTAAAAGCTTGCTTAATAAATAAAAAAATATTTGGTTAATCCAATTTTCCAGAATTTTTAGAAAAAAAAATCAGGAATGAGGCCATCAGGCCATGGAAAAAATGTCACTAAGTGTGTCTATTTAATTGTAAAAATCATAGCTCCGTTATCCTGGACTATTTTTCAATGAAATTTTAATATGTTGAAACTAAAAACTTCCTTAATAAGCCAAAAAATATTTGGCACCTCCAGGTTTCTCAGATTTCCAAGAAAAAAAATCAGAAATCAGGCCATAGGCTGTAATGCAAAAATATCACTCAATGGGGCTTTCGGATTAAAAAATCGTAACTCAGCTATCTTTGGTTTTTATCGAATCAAATTTTGGTATGTCAAAGCTAAAAGGCTCCTGGATACATAAAAAAATTCTACATTTCCCAAAGTGTCCCAGATTTTCAGGGAAAAAATCAAAAATTAGGCCATAGGCTCATAGGCTGTAATGCAAAAATATCGTTCAATGGGGCTTTCGGATTAAATAAGATTTCAGAAACATATTTTTCTCTTTTTTTTTTTCACCAAGGAACAAGTCGGAGGCGCCCCTCGAGGTCTGGCGCCTGGAGCGCTCGCTCCATTCGCCTTATGGTAGGGCCGGCCCTGCTTCCCCGAACTCCCAACTGTCGCTAAACAGTTACAGAGTAAAAGTGTAACAATAGTTCTGAAACATTCAAACCCAAATTGTATCAATCAAGCCACATGCGAGGACCCCAAGCGCAAGCCAGAACTTGAAGAACGGTGCCAATTCCTTATAACAATTATAGATAAGGCCACAACATTATCTTCAGTAATAAGGGGAGGTCCCCCTACAACAATTGTAGGCAGGTTGCATAATTCAACCAAATCAACAACATAAAATGTGCACAATATCAAATCAATACTACATTATTATAGTATAGAACTTTATTATCTCTCATACCTCAATTTATCTTCAATATCCCAAACGTCTAGTCCGAGTCACAGGGACACATAGAACCTTTCAGCACACTTTCTCAACAAACTCTGTTCCCCTGTCTTTTTTGCCAGGTCAGGTAGGTACCTTTCTTTCCCTCCATTTTATAATAGGCAAGTTATCATACAGAGTGTCTCTCTTTCTTATTATGGATTGGGTGAAATAAATATTCATGGAATTAGGCACAACAAAGGATAATAATATATTGAATGAATACAAGCTAATTGGATATTATTTTACACAAATCGATTTTTTTTCTAGATTCCTTTGCCACCGGCAGTTCCTCAAGTTCACATAAAAGAAGAATCGGTTAATCTGTCGCAAGAAGCAGCCCAAACGACTCAAGTATCTGTTACTACAACAGAAGCTGAAATACCCAAAGAAAGCGGAACTGATGGTAAGAATATTTCCTTTACTATATCTAGCTCAAAAACAAAAACAAAAATTAAATCGCAACCTTTTCTTCAAACTTTTCTCAAGATTGACTAAAATATTTTTTCATCATCACTGGATTTTACTGACCAAATTCCCCTTTTTTGTCAGTGTTAAATTGGTTCCAATTCTTTAATAAAAACTAACTTTCTTTGATTTATTTTCAGTAAATGAATCTCATCCCGAAGCTATTTTGATAACTTCTCAAGAAACCAAACCCCAAATGACAGGAACTGAAAATGTAGGAGTCCAACCTGCACCAATTCCCGTTACAAATTCAACTTCAGAAATTGGTCTTCCTGTTGCAACTACAGCTGAAGAAGTAAAAGAAAGATGCCCACCTAAGGCTATGGTCAAGCCGCAGGTCAGTAAAGTAAGCGAATTTTGATTATTTATAATATGTATCTGAAATTTTTTGAAGTGTTTGCTTACACTCTATTAATAATTTCCAGGTTCTGACTCATGTAATTGAAGATTTCGTGATACAAGAATCCTCAGAGCCTTTCCCGGTTACAAGAAGTGGTATGATTAGTGATTTGAAGCCAGCTCATTCTACAAATGAAAAAGACGATGAACCCCCACGTAAGTTTTACTTAATTGTGGGATAAAATTCAAGCTAAAATAATGTTGTTTCTTTAGGTAAAAAGCTGGCAATGTCGCCGAATATGTCACCCAAAGGAGACATGGCCAAATGCGAAGCTTGCGGTATAGTGGATCACAAAGCTAAGTTTAAAAAGAATAAAAGATTTTGTTCAGTGGCTTGTTCGAAGAGGTACGTTGATTACTTTAATACCATACATTGAATTAGTTGATAATTTTGTTGTTTTTAGTGGTAAAACCAAAGATGACAAAAAGAAATGGGATAAATCAGAAGAAATGGAACATGACGATGCCAAAGCTGAAAGTACGAGTCCGTCTGTTATTGCTGACGATGTTCCTAGAGTGGATCCTCTCAAGTGGGGCGTAAGTATACAAATTTTATTATCTTAAATATTTTTAACTCGTGTGATATTTTTTACAGGTTCAAGAAGTCTTTGACTTCATTAAAAACCTCCCTGGTTGTTCAGACTATGCGGAAGATTTCCTCATCCAAGAAATCGATGGTCAAGCTCTTATGCTACTAAAAGAAGACCACCTGATGACCGCCATGGCCATGAAACTGGGTCCGGCTTTGAAAATTGTAGCCAAAATCGATGATATGAGAATAGACAAAGAACCTCCTAAACAACAATAATGATGTTCGTCCCCAATAAGTTAAGTTTATTTATTTTTTTCCAAAAGAATCGATTTTTTGATTGTTTTGGAACAAACTTTATTTAGTTGATTGAAGACTGGTAAATGTAAATTAGTTAAGAAAAAATTTTAGCAGAACAATAATTTGGAGTTTATTGGGGGTTGAAGATACTCTTCAACTACCAAGTTACTCCTTTTTGTTTAAAGCTACTGGAGCAAAATCTGGGCATTTTTCCGACATTGTAAATATGTAAAAATTTTGAGGCCAAAATTACCTAAAAAAATGACTATTTTTTATTTTAAATAAATCTGTAAATATTCACTGAGTAAATAGTTCAAATTATGTTTATTATTGTAACAAAGGTTGATAGTCAAGAGTCGAATTTATAGTTGTTCCTTGATTCTTTCTTGGAAGTTGTTAGTTTAGAATGGACACTTGCTATTTGACAAGTAAGTCAATTCTACATGTTCGAAGCTTCTTTAAATTCTGAGGAAGAAGTGACTATAAATTTGGGCCTAAACTGACCATTGTGTGTCTTTGATGTAATCGAAGGAAAATTTAATTATTATATAAATATTGAAATATTGAGGTGCACTTTTGTGTTCAGATTTATTATATTTGTGTATTTTCTATAATATGCATATTATTGCTCAGTATTTTTTTTATTTTTCGTGCAATTACTATTTTTTTAATTTATATTTAGCTTTAGTTTTTATTTGAGTTCTTTGTGCAGATATTATTCGATTGATATTTGTTACTAATATAACTGCCACTAAACGATAATAAATTTGTAATTTATATAAAAGTGATTTTTGTGAGTTTTTATTTTTTTTTTGGTTTTAGCTGTGATTGCCATCTATTTGAGAAGAGCAGGTGATAGTGTTATTGATTTAAAATTAAAAAATCGGGAAAATTGCAAGCTAAAATCTATACTCTGTTCCGCATTGCAATTGATAGCTCAAATCAAAATAATATCTCATGACTGTTGGATCTAGCAAAAGTCGTGATTCTTAATAAATTCAGTTTCGAGAAAAACTTTTCCGTCGAACTAAGTATAGAAAACAGATGGAACATAAAATCTATTCAATACCTTGAAGCCAACACCATCAAATGGTACACAGACGGTTCCAAAACTGATACTCGGAGCCAATGGAAAAATCGCCAAGAATATTTCAAGCGGAACTTCATGCTATCGAAAGATACGTGCAATTCAACCTGAACAGAAGATATCGAAAATGGGAGATTGTTATAATATCTGACAGCCAAGTACCTAGCTATCAAATATACAATATCATGAACAATATCCTTTAGCATCCGCGGTGATTTTGCATGATTTTTATGTAAATTATTTGTTAAGTGGTTCAAAAGATTAAAGATTCTCAAAGAGCAATTAATTTGAGTCAAGACGTCAACTACATTTTAAAATCAGCATGTACCATCGTCACCAAAAGTAACTGAAAATAGTGAATTAATGAATGAACTACATGAAGTGGGAATAAGATTGCGGACAATGCGGGCCAATCACAAACAAAACCCGCGCATTCGCGATTATGGTCGGGCTTGCTCTGGCAATATTTGCATCCTTCTTTATCTGGTTATCTTAACAAGGATAAAACAATTCAGGTGGGCGTTCCCAGACGAATACAACCAGGGGGCCAATTCTTGAAAGCAAGGGCGGTTTAAAGGGGGGGGGGGGGGGGGGTAGAGGGGGTAATTACCCCCCCCCCCCCCCCAGGCAAAGATTTTTTCTATACATTTAATAATCACAACAAAATTTCAACAAAAGACAAGTTCAACAAAGTAAAGGATTAAAGGCATCGTATATGAATATGATAGGCTCACCAGTACCGACGTACCTACCAAGGTTCCTAAAGTTCATAGGTTGTCTGGTAATGGGTAACTTGATGACGCATCTGGGGGCCTTATGCAGATTTGCATTATGTTGAGGCACCCCAGATGACGTCATAAAGACAAAGTTATCAGACAACCTACCTCTCTCAAACAACCCTGCGTACCTACTTACTATTATACAGTGCTATGGTGGTTTGAAATGTCTGGTTTTGTGTATAGTATTGCGAACACCCTGTAGAATGTTAACAGATTTTCATAGGACCATGAAGTAAATGTAAGTAAGTAAAATCCGTCATTTCTAAACTGATACTTTTCGTATGAGGAGCGAGGGGGTATTTATATGACAAAAACAGGTGTGACGTCAGGTAACCATTGGCGTTCTAATGTAGGGAACCACCAGCTCAAATTCCGTTGGAGTATCAGATTAAAATCGACAGACTTACCGCGTGTTTCTAAATTCATCAAAATGGTGCACCGCCACCGCGGATGCGGTGATTGAAATTCACCAATGCCACAGCTTGTCAAACACTGTTTAATTTAAGAACACTGCTTTTTCTACCATTCCACCACGGTGCCCACACCAGCTGAATTTAGCCACACGCGGATTATGCACTAACAACCTGCCAAAGCTTTATATATAGGATTTTCAATGGATGAAATATGTTGGTTTTTGTTGACACATGCAAGCTGCGATTTTTTGAAAAAATAATGAATATTTTAAAAACGGTTGAGTTTTGGTATAGATGATTCCAAACAAAAAGTATGTAGGATTTTTAGAACGATAGAATGTACTAAAATATAGGGTGTTCCATTTAAAAATAATAAAGTTCTGTCGCATACCCCATTTACAGAGCACCCTGTATATTTAAAAATATTAGCCTTAGAGAATCAAACAACTTTGAATTTTTATTAATTTTTTTCTTGCATCACCCTGTAACAAGATATCGTCTGATATCGCACTAAATGGACACCCTGTATAACTATTTTGACGGCATCGGGATACATTTTTGCCCCAAGCGTGATTTTTAAACGACTTTCGGGAGCAAATTTGGGCGTGGCAAGCCAAAAAAAATTTCGCCTCCAGCGGTTCCGACACTTGAAAATTTTCCCGTCATCCATTACCCCCCCCCCCAGAAAATCATGTACGGGCCGCCACTGCTTGAAAGTAGTGAAAATATTCACCCGGTGAAAAATTTCACCCACCTAATTTTCACCTGCCTCACTCGTTTTGTATTCTTGAGTCGTGGGTGAATTAACTTGAGGTGAATATAAAATAACACTTTGGCAACGTCGGAATATAGCCTTTTTAGAAGGAAAATTGCTAAGGAAAATTGAAAACGCCTACAATTCTTAACCTTACTTTTGTGTGGGTTTTTTTTCCGCAACCGTCAACGCGTCAACTGACCGGCGACCGCAGCAATAATTTGTTTTCGAAAAATTTAAGCATAAACTATTGCTATTTTGCCGTGTAAATTCAACAGTTCAAAGAGATGCCTAAGAAATATTGTGGACATGCAACCACGAAGCAAAAAGAACATCTAATTGAAATTGTGAATGATGACGATTATGACGAATTGAGAAAAGGACGGATTTTCAGATTTTTGTACAAAAAGCTTTACAAAGCTGATATTCTTGTTGTACCTTCTAGAAAAGGATCTTAAATTTCTATAAGAAGCAGTGGCGTAACTACAGGGTGTCATGTAGTGGCAACACTGCTTAGAAGCGCACAAGCGCGGCCTGAGACTGAACTAATCAGTCGGTAATTACGAGTCTTTAGATTTAGATGTTCCTGTTCGCGTGCCTCCCTTTAAACCAAAAAATTTCATATTAAACAAAATAAATCTTATCAATCAGTTAATCAATCATCTTTTATTACAAAACGTAACAGTGGCGACGAGGATATAAAACGGAAACGCGAATTTTTGAAGTTTAATTGTTAATTCAACGTGGTAGTTAAGAAAACGGCAAGATGGCGATGGCAATCGCGCCAAAATTTTCGGAATTTCACCATGAGACCGACGATTGGGACATCTATCAAGAAAGATTAGAACAGCATTTCACCGCGAATGGCATCACAGAGGGCAAGGTAAAAATCGCAGTCTTGTTGAGCTCCATGGGGGTGGAAACCTACAAACTTCTAAGGGACTTATGCTACCCAACGCCTCCAAAAGAAAAGACCTTCAATGAGCTAAATAAACTACTAAAATCACAATTTAAAGTCCAAGTCAGCGCCTGGCGAGAGAGGAAGAAATTTTATCAAATCTCGCAGGCTGACGAAACCATTACGGAATATTATGGTCGATTGAGAAGCGCAGCAGTCAGTTGTAGTTTTGGAAGTGATTTATCCAAAATTCTTGCGCATCGCTTCGTCTGTGGCCTTTCCAATGGGAAAATAATGGATAGAATGTGTGAAGAATCCGAGGATCAGGACTTGGAAAAATTGGTAGAGCTGGCAACGAAGGTGGAGAGTGCAGCAAAAGCTTCCATGACGCATGCTGGTGTCAATTTGGTCAGTTCTGCTCATGATCGAAGCAGAAAACCACAACGCAACCTGACGTCAGCGACGAGGCGATTTCAAACAAGCAACAGCAGCAGTAGCAACAGCCAAGAACCTCGAGGTCAACCAAATGCTCGTCATCAATCAGGTGGTTGGACTCAGCCGCAACAGCAACAGCGCAACCATGGCCGACCATATGCAACCTTCAGCCAAATGTCAAAAAAGATAAGTACTAGTAGAGAGGGAAATGTCAATCCAAATTTTAATAATCGTGATTTGCAAAAATGTAAACATTGTTTTTCCAATCATCCTAGCTTAAATTGTTTTTTTCTACAAACGTGTTAAAAATGCTATTTTCAACACCTCCCCGTAGTATTAAAAATGTTACTTTATCGCACTAGTGCCATAAAGTCTTTATAGCACTAGTGTTAAAAATGAAACATCAAATTTTGAGAGCGAACGTCAAAAAAAGTTTGTATTTTTAGTTATTTACATTGATATTAATGGTGAAATTTGAACAAGTGAGGTAGCCCGATTGGACGCCTCATCTATATTTTTCAAGGGATCGATGCAACCCTCTGTCTTCTGTATTTTGTTGCATTTTTAGCAAAAAGCGACCAGATCACGACAGACTTTCAAGAAACTGACAAGGCATTTCATTACCTGTAAAACAAGGTGCTGGTTGTTTGGATTTTTTGACAAATGTCAAATTCAATAATTTTATGTAGGAAAAATGCTTTCAATTTAGTATTCATTTAAAAATTCAATTTGGTTACTGGTTATTGCTTTTTATTGCTGTTTGTAGAAAAAATATTGTATGATATTTGTGTTAAAAGTATTTTTAAGGCACTTATGTGAATTGCAGAATTCGCTTCGCTCATTCTGCCAACTTTCACATGCGTGCCTTAAAAATGTACTTTTAACACTTATGTCATAAATAACTATTTTCTACAAACGTGTTAAAAATGCAATTTTTAACACCCCCCCGAAGCATTAAAAATGTTACTTTTTCTACTGACGTTTCATAATAGCAACTTTTCGATTGTCATTTCAGTTTTGAAACGACATTCTTTTAGGCACTGAGTGCGTGAAAGTTACTTTTAAGCACTCAGTGCGAATGATTGTAAATACGGTATGTAATATACTATTCTAGTTTTAGGTTGAAGACAGATCAAACTCTCCTCAGAGCCTATGATGGAGGTTCATTTAGACCAGATGGTTATGTTATGTTGAATGTGGAGTATCGTAAGGTCACTAAGCCAGTAAAATTCTATGTGGTCCAGGGTGCTGCCGCGGACATTCTTGGTCGAGATTGGATGGAAACTTTTAACGTGAGGATTGAGCTGATTAACCAGATATCGCAGGAAAATGAAGTGTCACAAATCATTGAGAGGTATCCAGAAGTCTTCAATGATAAAGTAGGTACATTTTCTCACTCTGTTGTAAGCATTAAGTTGAAAAAGGAAGCTGTGCCAGTCTTTATGAGGCATAGAAATGTTCCTTTTGC